AATAATGTAAATAGTGTACATAATACCTCATCTCGGAAATATAGACAGATGTTATTAACTAGCTTGATTGGGCCTTCATCACAATGGTTGCGGAGGAGTAGATGTGATAGGCAGCAATAAAGATTCACCTTTTAAACGTTCAATGATTATTCTTCTGTCGCTACTTAATTTTAAGGACATATGATGTACGTAGGTCCTTACTTTCCGCACAAACAAGTATTTTCATTTCATTGGTAACATTCCTTGGGTTTCGCAATTATTTTCGATTATTCTTAAAATTATCGCCAAGTTACCAAAATTCTTATCGCACAAAAAGACATCACGTAAAAAAAATTCCTGAAACAATCACAGTAATGAAAACTTGAGAATCGAAAATCTCAGAATTGCTGGTCCTGATTAATTTGCTCACGGAGTCGGCCCCTTTCCAAAGTGATTGGATATGTTGGGCTATGGCTTTTAGGATGTAAGTTAAAACACAGACAATTTTCTTTTGAAATACTGTAATTTCAGAACAGTATTTTTCATTTGAACATGATCAATTGCAAGTTAGAGAGTTGTGCCCCTTTAATTGTTTTATCAGTAGAAGCCAAGACGGCGGAATCCGAAAACATTCGCAGAAATGAAAAGTTGAGAATCCAAAGGTTCAGTATTTCGAGTCCAGATCCGATCCGTAATTTGCTCACAAAGTCGGCCTGATTCCATAATGGTATGATATGCTGGGCTACAGCCTCTAGAAGTAAAGTTGAAACGTGTGACACAGTGACACACTGACATTCGTATTTATTATAGAGAAGAGCAAGAACAAGAGAAAAGTAATCAAGGGGTTTTTGGATAACATTGCATTTAAGTTTTTGAACTTTAAGGTTGAGAAACATGGAACAGAAACAGACTTTTACAAACAAATTGTACGTGAGAAGAACCTCTTAGGATAGAACTTACGGTTCTATCTATCCAATTGAACTGCCGCCAATCTAGCACTGAGCTTAAATTCATAAAGTCCAGGTAACTGTTACCATGAAAGAATTCAGAGAAAAGGCACAGGGAAGCTATATCATAGCAGTGGGAAGGTGACTGAAGATGAGATGCCAGGTGAGGACCACTATTAGTTTTTGCTATCTAAAACCTGTTCTACCAACCATTTACACATCTCGTTATGTCGGTTATACGTTTCTTTTTCTCTTGCCTTCATTTGGCTGACGGACATTGGGCTACATATATTTATATTTATTTACTGTATTAAATTTTTTTCAAGAAGTTTTTAGAATCTATTCTGTATATATTATATTTTACTTCAAATATTACTGTAAGAATGATAATTATTTTGAGAAAAAGCGCGTGTTACTACTGCAAAAATCTTAAGCTTTTACGATATGAAAGATCTTTCAATTTTGCTTTTAATGAACATTGTTTTAAAGGAATGAAGTAGCTTTTCTCTTACTGTTAAATGCAAATTTAAATTATTAGGTCCACGCTTTACCCAAATACAGTCAAATAGTTTCAAAAATACTAATTTCAATAAACAAATATTGAAACAAGAACACTTTTAACTATAAATTTAGATTTCGTAATTTACTCACTTGAAAATTAGCGGTAATTATTAGTCTTATTCTACCTTATACTACTAATTAAAATACTTAAAGTTTGCTCGTTACTATTTTTAATTCTACTTTTTCGGTGAAATGTCGGCCGGCCAAATGACTGTTTGGCCAAATGTCCGATGGCCAAATGTCCGTCAGCCAAATGTCCTTCAACCAAATGCCTCTCGGCGAAATGTCCGTCGGCCAAATGTCCGTTTGGCCAAATGTCCATCGGCCAAATATCTATTGGCCAAATGCCTCTCGGCCAAATGTCTGTCTGGCCAAATGTCCAGATGTGTGTTGGCCAAATGCCTCTCGGCCAAATGTCCGTCGGCCAAATGTCCATCGGCCAAATTCCTCTTTGCCAAATGTCCATCGGCCAAATGCATCTCGGCCAAATGTCCATCGGCCAAATGCCTCTTGGCCAAATGTCCTTCAACCAAATGCCTCTCGGCCAAATGTCCGTCGGCCAAATGTCCATCGGCCAAATTCCTCTTGGCCAAATGTCCATCGGCCAAATGCCTCTCGGCCAAATGTCCGTCGGCCAAATGTCCATCGGCCAAATGCCTCTTGTCCAAATGTCCATCGGCCAAATGCCTCTTGGCCAAATGTCCGTCGGCCAAATGCCTCTCGGCCAAATGTCCGTCGGCCAAATGTCCATCGGCCAAATTCCTCTTGGCCAAATGTCCGTCGGCCAAATGTCCAAATCGGCCAAATGTCCATCGGCCAAATCTTCCGTCGGCCAATGTCCATCGGCCAAATTCCTCTCGGTGTCCATGTCCGTCGGCCAAATGTCCATCGGCCAAATGCCTCTTGGCCAAATGTCCATCGGCCAAATGCCTCTTGGCCAAATGTCCGTCGGCCAAATGCCTCTCGGCCAAATGTCCGTCGGCCAAATGTCCATCGGCCAAATTCCTCTTGGCCAAATGTCCATCGGCCAAATGCCTCTCGGCCAAATGTCCGTCGGCCAAATGTCCATCGGCCAAATTCCTCTTGGCCAAATGTCCATCGGCCAAATGTCTGTCGGCCAAATGCCTCTCGGCCAAATGTTTGTTGGCCAAATGTCTCTTGGCCAAATGTCCGTCGGCCAAATGTCCAGCTACGTAGGGATACATTTTCTAAACGCTCTTTCCTCGTTATATTCCCTAGGAATTTCAAATGTATTTTTTTCTGATTTGTTGTATGACATTTAAATTGAACGTCTGGAAGCTAATATAACATCAGTTGAGAAAATAATCTCAGAGAAAGGCGTGTTCAATTTAACACAAATTCAAGAACCAATATTAAGCAGGTTATACGTTCGTCACGAGTTGATGCAAAAAAAAAAATTGATAAAATCTCGAGTTTTTGAATCTGTGGTTCAACATCAACTCTACAAATTAATTATCTATGTCGTCAGGATTTTTTGATTAGCTTTTGTGCCTCATAGTTTCTCGACTATTTGTGGAGGTATTTCGTTCCGGTGTAAAAGTGTAAATACATTTAGGAAAGGTATGAATCCATCTCCTCCGACACCAGCTATTGGTAGATAAGAAGACAGTAAGTGTGCTATAGTCTTGGTTGATAACCGGTGTTGGAGAAAGAAAACACTAACTTCAAATTTTGAGGAGGGCAACTTTTGGGTGACCGTGTGGCCCACCATGAGTACTTGATCCCTGCGTTCGGCTCTTCCAAAAAATATCAGTTTCTTCGCCACGTAAATATAGATTTTGTTATTCATGCTGACGGTCGTCTTTGAGTATAGAATCCAGAGGTTAGCAGTGAATATTTCTTAGACAGTAGGGAAGCGTAGTTCAGGTTAGCAGTGGATATCCTGGAAAAGTAGCAGAGCGTAGTTCAGTAGTTCTTCCTTCTGTTCTTTCGCCTGACAAGTTGGCACTGGACATTCGGAGAGAGTAAAAAAAATGGCCGCCTTTATACACAACGGATTGAATGTGCTACGTCTTCTAATTGGTTAACCCTTCTCTTGGTGGACTATAAAACGGGTCAAGTCATTTTGACTGGCTCACTAGTACATAATACCCAAAAAACTGCATCAGATGTTTGATTCTTTATATCTTTTTAATAATACAAACGAGAAGAAAAAATATACATAGGTATAGAATGAACAAGCCTAGTATACACATTAACTAACGAACTAACTAACTAAATAATAATAATAATAATAATAATAATAATAATAATAGCAATAATAAATAAATAATTAAATAAGTATCAGTAAAATTCCGTCATTCTCCCTAAAAATAAAAACAAAATCTTTGAAGAAATTGAAAGACAGGTTGTTATAAAAAGACAGAAATTTCGGGGAGGATTGATAAAAGTATTTTTTACAAATTTGATGGTTTTGTTTGGCTTGATTTGGTTTGTTTTACGGTCTATCAACCTCAATAGGTTATTTAATGCCGACAAGATTTTTATTTTTTCAAAAAAATGTATTGCTGATAATAATTCTACAAATAAGTTTTGCTGGTATTAAAACCTATTTTTATACTTTCATTGTGTTTTCACAACTTCTGGTGGGGTTACCTATTTGTCCATAGTTTTGACCTTGACAGGTGCTACCTCCCCGGGTCAGGGTGGACCTTGGAACACCAGCAATTAAATGATGGTTCCACGCACCTCAAAACCTTCTGATCAAAGGCCTTGCTGCTGAATGTAGTTTATCGTCTTACCCAGAACGTGGATGTAGTTTATCGTCTTATCCAGGACGCAGATGTAGTTTATCGTCTTACCCAGGATGTGGACGTAGTTTATCGTCTTACCCATGACGAGGATGTAGCTTATTGTGCTACCCAAGACGCAGATGTAGTCTATCGCCTTACACAGGACGCGGATGTAGTTTATCGTCTTACCCAAGAAACGGATGTAGTTTATCGTCTTAAAAGGAGGCGGATGTAGTTTATCGTCTTAAAAGGAGGCGGATGTAGTTTATCGTCTTAAAAGGAGGCGGATGTAGTTTATCGTCTTAAAAGGAGGCGGATGTAGTTTATCGTCTTAAAAGGAGGCGGATGTAGTTTATCGTCTTAAAAGGAGGCGGATGTAGTTTATCGTCTTACCCAGAACTGCAGACATTTCCTATTTGTTCTTTATGTTACCATTCTGTCAGTTTCCGATTCATATTTTATCTATATTTGATCTCAACTGATATATATATATATATATATATATATATATATATATATAGAGAGAGAGAGAGAGAGAGAGATAATTCCTTTAACTATATTAGTCCAGTTGGTTCGTTTTAGAGGTCGACGTGTAGAATTTTTAGTTTGAATTAAAATTGCCTGATGGTATATATATATATATATATATATATATATATATATATATATAATAGCGCCAGGACAACCGATAAACATCAAAAGATTTCTGATAAAAACGTCAAAATATCAATCGTCTAAAATCGTCAAGGAAATAATATCAATGTTGTCAATGACATCAATCATTGTCACAGCGGATGTAGTTTATCGTCTTAAAAGGAGGCGGATGTAGTTTATCGTCTTAAAAGGAGGCGGATGTAGTTTATCGTCTTAAAAGGAGGCGGATTTTTATCGTCTTAAAAGGAGGCGGATGTAGTTTATCGCCTTACACAGGAGGCGGATGTAGTTTATCGTCTTACCCAAGAAACGGATGTGGTTATCGTCTTAAAAGGAGGCGGATGTAGTTTATCGTCTTAAAAGGAGGCGGATGTAGTTTATCGTCTTAAAAGGAGGCGGATGTAGTTTATCGTCTTAAAAGGAGGCGGATGTAGTTTATCGTCTTAAAAGAGAGGGGATGTAGTTTATCGTCTTAAAAGGAACGTCTTACCCAGAACTGCAGACATTTCCTATTTGTTCTTTATGTTACCATTCTGTCAGTTTCCGATTCATATTTTATCTATATTTGATCTCAACTGATATATATATATATATATATATATATATATATATAGAGAGAGAGAGAGAGAGAGAGATAATTCCTTTAACTATATTAGTCCAGTTGGTTCGTTTTAGAGGTCGACGTGTAGAATTTTTAGTTTGAATTAAAATTGCCTGATGGTATATATATATATATATATATATATATATATATATATATATATATATATATATATATATATAATAGCCAGGACAACCGATAAACATCAAAAGATTTCTGATAAAACGTCAAGGAAATAATATCAATCATTGTCAATGACATCAATCATTGTCACAGGTTTGAATCATTCCATCTGTTGTAGGCCAGAAATTGTGGAAAATTAATGACGTTTCAAACTAAAAATACAATCAAAAATCTCTTAGCCAAGTTTATGTCATCGGGATAATTTAAATTATTTACCTTAGATAAGACGAGTAACAATTGAGAACTGGGTGTGGCCCCTGCTAAATCAATGTCATGATGTAGAAAAGGAGAGTTTTGGAACTAGGATGTATTGTCGCCTAACGTCGCTTTCTTGATATTTGAATAGTTGAATACCCATCCTAGGTACTAGGAAGATTTAGCTTTATTAACGCTTTCACTGCTACTCATTTGCCCTGTGCTGTCCCCATTCGGCCAGCCATTTTTAAAGAAAATGCCAAATTTCAACCTACATATTTTATTACAAAGAAAACTGGCACCAGTGTGTTTTACAGCCTTCCATTTTCATGGATATACCTGGGAATGACTTACCAGATTAGTAATGGGTATACACATGATATCTTTTGAAGCATTGTCCTTTGTGATTTGACGATAGATGGCGCAACGGACACTTATAACAGCGGTATGCAAAAAACGTAGATTTCCGTACTTAGCCAGCTGGAGCAAGATAAAAAAAATGAAAATCTCTGTACTTAGCAGCGGAAGGGTTAAAATGATATATGCGATCATAGCCCTGTACAACTTTATGTCTTTTGAAGCGCTCATAAAATGTTGTCTTTTTGTTTTTCCTCCTAAACCTTGCTCTGTCATATATTTAAAAAAGGCTCATTCTTTTTCTGCTATGTTTCGTGTACCTTTCGGATGAAAGCGATCAAAGCTCTCCACAATTTCCTGTCATTCGTATCTCTTAATATATATTGTCTTTTTGTTATTTATCCTAAACCCTGTTCAAATATACTTTTACTCAAGCTCTCTAGCTTGTGTTATTCCCCTCCGACCTTCTTGACTTCAATGTGTCCTGTGGATATCGAATTTTCCGAGCTCTCTTTCCTCATTATGTGTCCTATCAATTTCAAATATTTTTGCCTGGGATCAACATCAGGAAGCTACAGTTGATATTTCTAGGGCACATAATGAGGAAAGAGGGCTTGTAAAATTTGATACTCCCAAGACAGTTTGAAGGCAAAAGAGAGTGGCAATCAACACATAATCTTCATAGTGGGGTTATGCACATGGTTGACAGAGCAAGGTTTAGGAGAAATAATATAGAAGTCAACATTATTCAGAGATTATACGCAAAGAATTAAGAAAGAAGAAACATTCGTTAGAAACAAAAGAAAAGTACTAGAGCCTTACTCAATATCGGTCTATACGGCAGGGAATGCTGAACAGGCTCCTCATAGATGCAGTAGAGTCTTGGAGAAAGAGAATTGTCTTGGATGCTGAGAATACTAATGACTAAACATGTCAGAAGTTGTAGGGAAAATTTTATCAAAGATTTATCCTAAAATGTTGTCGGCATTAAATAATCCATTGAGGTTGAAATGCCGTAAAACAAAATAAACCAAACCAATCTAAACCAAAGAAAACATATTCTATTCATAAGAATCTATCCGAAAAATGTTGTCGGCATTAAATAACCCATTGAAGTTCATATGACGTAAAACAAAATAAAGCAAACCAATGTAAACCGAAGAATACATATTCTATTTATACGAATCTACCCTAAAAATGTTGTCGGCATTAAATAACCCATTGAGGTTGATATGCCGTAAAACAAAATAAACCAAACCAATCTAAACCAAAGAATACATATTCTATTCATACGAATCTATCCTTAAAATGTTTTCGGCATTAAATAACGCACTGAGGTTGATATGCCGTAAAACAAAATAAACCAAACCAATGTAAACCTAAGAATACATATTCTATTCATAAGAATCTATCCGAAAAATGTTGTCGGCATTAAATAACCCATTGAGGTTGATATGCTGTAAAGCAAAATAAACCAAACCAAATAAGCCGGACGTACATCTACCTTTAACACCCGTATACTGGACCTCAGTCTACTTTTATTATTCGAGTGAAAATCGAACCTATATTATTCTTTTTCTTTTTATTCATTGGAGTTTCTGTCGGATAAGGCCATTAAGTAACTCTGTAAAGCTTGATAAGATGTTACATTGAGCATTAGTAACTAAAATTAGAATAACATCCTAAGAGCAAAACCTATAGAATTGGATAGTGAAACCATTGAGAAGCCTTGGAGACAATTCCTAAAATAAAATCCGAAAACCTGATAAACTAGCAAACATCTTGGAAATAAAGCCTATATTTTCATATTGATAACCGTATCCTCAGATACAAAAATAAAGAAAGAGAAAAAGCTGGAAGCAAATAAAAAGTTCTACAAAAGAATAGAAGAAATAAATTGGAAAGCAGCAACTTTGGAAACAAATCCTAAAATGTAAAACAACATTGGAAAGCGTGTCGAATAAGCAGCTTTAAAAATCAGTAGCAATATCCTTGGAACGAGATTCATACAAATCCTTGTAAATCGAACGAGAAGAAAGATGGAAAACTAAGCAGTAAATTACAAATAGGAAATACCAAAATAAAAAATGAGGAACAATTTAAATATCTTTGGAAGTGTTTTAACGAAAGACGGAATTCTGAAGACGCAATAGGATAGAGAAAGATGCCTTCCAAAAGATAAGCAAAGTATAAAGAAACAGAAAGCTTTCGTTAAAAATAAAGAAAACATTACCGAACTATTATATAATATCAGTCCTTCTATATGACAGTGAATGCTGGTCAATTAATTTCCTCAAAGACGAAGCAAGAGAAATGTGGTTCTACAGAAGGATGCTGAGAATATCATGGACCAATCATGTAAGCAACGAAGATGTTTTAGAAAAAAAGAGAAACGAAAATACGTCAAGATTAGACAATAGATATTTCTAAGGTACATAATGAGGAAAGAAGGCTTGAGGAATTTGATATACACAGGAAAGTAAATAGAGGACAGAACATGGTTTAAGAGAAATGGCAAAAATTATTTTCTAAGACCTCCAAAGGGTCAGGAAATTGCGGAGATTCACGAGTGGCCAACGTCCTGAAGGGACACGGCGCATAGAAGGAAAGTAATTCACGGAACCGGGGTGAAACCAATAATTCAAGTAGACACACTTTTGTTGTTACAAACTATGCGAAAGATATACGGGTTCATAATCGGCACAGCTGTGGGGTCTGCGCTAGACGTGATAGTTGAGATTACGTTCATCATACAGAGATATATGAGCCTTTGTAACTGCTCAGAATGACAGATTGGCGTGCCAGTCTCAAAGTCCAGTAGTAGTTTGAATGTTCACATTCACGCAAGGAGCCTTGGGAAAGGTATGTATTAATTTCTAGTCAGCCAGATAGAGGATAAAAATGACATTCATGCCAAAAGACACCAGGTATATAGCAGCAATATACATATGAGAAAACGATCTATGAAATGTTATATATTAACAACAATTTCAGGAATATCTATAAAAAATGGAAAATTATATATACATATGTATCTTTATTTTAGAATATTACATCGAAAACCTGTCAAAATCGCTACACAATTGTAGTCATATTTCGATGCATTGTAAGTTTACAATCGCCTGATAAGATGCATTTGATATTCTATTCATACGAATCAATCCTAAAAATGTTGTAGGCAATAATAACCCATTGAGGTTGATATGCCATAAAACAAAATAAACCAAACCAATTTAAACCAAAGAATACATACTCTATTCATACGAATCCATCCTAAAAATGTTGTCGGCATTAAATAACCCATTGAGGTTGATATGCCATAAAACAAAATAAACCAAACCAATTTAAACCAAAGAATACATACTCTATTCATACGAATCCATCCTAAAAATGTTGTCGGCATTAAATAACCCATTGAGGTTGATATGCCGTAAAACAAAATAGACCAAACCAATCTAAACCAAAGAATACATATTCTATTCATACGAATCTATCCTAGAAATGATGTCGGCATTAAATAACCCATTGTGGTTGATATACCGTAAAACAAAATAAACCAAACAAATCTAATCCAAAGAATACATATTCTATTCATACGAATCTATCCTAAAAATCTTGTCGGCATTAAATAACCCATTGTGGTTGATATGCCGTAAAACAAAATAAACCAAACAAATCTAAACCAAAGAATACATATTCTATTCATACGAATCTATCCTAAAAATCTTGTCGGCATTAAATAACCCATTGAAGATGATATGTCGTAAAACAAAATAAATCAAATGAATCTAAACTAAAGAATACAT